TTTTTTTTTTACTATAGTAATGTTCGATTATATATATTTATTCCCCCCCTGAGTGAGAAAGGAATATGTATCGCGGGGTTGAGGTCACGACTCCCAAAAGGCAAGCGTCAGAGCACTACAAACTTACGAATAAAAAAATTCCTATCACCTAGATTGTTACGTCGTTGGCCGTTCATAACTAGGTGGCGTTGTATGCACCTAGCGGTCAATTTGAATATTACCTTAATCAGAATAATTAGATAATAATTTAATTTCCATTCTTTCATTAAATTCAATACTGCGTAGTTTGGGCACGTGTTCTTTTGGTGGACAATGACGTCTCATTTCAACTCTCAAATACAGAGCTCTATTCATCCAAGAAATAACATAAACAGTTCAAATAAACGAAAGAAATAAACCGAGTTAATATAAATATTGCAGGCCTGTTGATTTTCTGGCGTCGCCATAAACACATAAAATTCAGACGTAAACTTCTCGAGAAAGGTCCATGACTAATCCCAACAGATCTCCCTTTGTATCCTTTGTATTAAACCCAAGAACGTCATTTTCTGCCGGTCACACGTGCGTCCCAAATTCTAGAACGTGGATGGGGGTGGCTGGCAACAGTTGACTGCGTCACAACGTTGCCCAGCCCCTCCCCACCACTTTTTGAGTCTAGCATTTAAGATATCACTAAAACATAAGAAAGAGAGAGAATGCGTGCGCAATCTGAAAAGAGTGGGAGTTATAGGACCCACGAAAGGGACGTTTTGAATAAGTTAAGTCAGTTCGACGAGTCCGGTTTTAGAGTGCAGATCTCCAAAATATAAATCAATGTCTAGTGAAAGTTAATACAGTTTTGATAGTTAAATAAATAGTTTACGTGCTCTCCCGAAGCACTCAGTATTTTTCATTCAATATCAAATATTTCCTTATCCCAATTTTTCCACGAATGAGGATTCATCAATTGTTCTTTGGATTATTAATTGGACTTCGTTGGATTGCCCATCCGGGCTTCAGCTGTGAAACGTTCCTGCCTTCCTTTTTTTTCGCCGATTCAAAACTTGGCGCTGTTTTCCTAGTGACATCTGGGAGGACATAA